AAGAAGGAAAATCTAGAAATTTAGGGGATAGAAAAATTAGAAAAATTGGAATGAATGATTCCAAATTATAGATGGTAATTTGTATTAAATTATCAGGAAATTTGCAAAAAGATCTAATAAAAATAAAAATGAAGAAAATGATAATCTTTATCAGTGAAGATAATTGAAAGTAACTATTGAAAAAAATTGCAATATATTTTGCAATTAAACATGGTATGTTATCTGTTATTTAATTCATGAATTTTTCTCAATGAATCTATGATTTTATTGCCTTTCTCAGATCTAACTACAAAGCAGTTAAAGAGAAATTAATATATATACAGTTTACATCCTAACACGTGTCTTCACTAGAACAATAAAAAAGTGGATAGTCATCATTTGATCATTTTCTCCGCTGAAGATAATTCCAGATAACTTCTTATTTTTATTTTAAAAAAATATATTCTCAAATGTAGACAGAAATCCACAGAGGATTTCATTAATTAAGCATTAAAAAACACTATTAAGATATTGAGAAAATATTATTTCGTACAGAGACTGTCTTATGACTTACAGTATAATTTCAAAACTCGAATTTACTATAATTTTGAAACATACTTTCTTACTCTGTTTTAAAGTACTAAACGTAATTGAATATTTTAGAATTTTCTATAGTTTAGGAGATTGAATTTAGAAGATTGAGACCTAAGTTAATTAATGGGAAGATACTTAAGATAATTTATGACACAACGCGATTCAATGAAATTCTCTTCCTTTACTGATTATGTTAATTCTACTGGGAACTATGATTCACATCAGATTGAGCAAGTTACGCCATTCATTGATGAATGAACACACGGAATTAAATAACACTATCAGTCGGTAAATTCAGAATCGTCTGGTAAATATTTTCTCCAAAAATGTATTCTCAAAATAAATGACAATGAATTATACAAAATATGTACTTCTCAAGATGTATAAAATACATTTAATAATTGTAAAATGTAAATGTCAAATGTGAAATTAGTTTTCCATTGAAGAAGTATTTAACGATACAAAAACTTCCTTTCATTCAAGTAATTGATTTTGTCAAGTTATGTAAAATCAACAGAATCTTCAAAATACAAGATCAGTCTTCTTCTAAAGGCTACTACTGTAATTTTATGTAAGTGTAGATAAAATCATTTTGATTTGTTAAAGCGACCAGTAGTGTCAAGATAAAATCAGGCAAAATGATACTCACCCCTCAGTCAAGTAAATTTTCAATCCACAAATAATTAAAACAATGCTTCACTCTTGTGAAAATTGAATTCCAATTTTTCACAGACGTATCAATACACACTTACACACGTATTTTAAATACGCTATTCATTTTACATCGTCTATAGTCTTAATTTAGTCTAGTTATATAAAATTCTTTGGCTATCAAAACGATCGATAATAATTCTATGTAATTTCTATATTTCCTTCTTTTCCTCACTTTTGCTCGCATAATGCTCGCAAAATCAACGCAGAGAGACCGTTGACTTCGAAGGTGAACAGAAGGATCTTAATGATAAATAATATTAGATTTCATGGGAAAGAGAGAGAGGTAGAGGGAAATAAACAGAAGAAGATATGACAAAAGTAAATACGGCATGCTATTAAATATATAAGATTTTAATTTAATTAAGTAATTTATTAAATATTCACTTAAATAATCGCAATGTTGCAGTCTCTTCTTTTCACATTTTATTCATTAAAATCTGAAAAAAAAAATGATCCTTTGATTATTCTAATTTATAAATTGAAATAATTAAAATAAATTCTAATTTGTAGATTCTCTCTTGTGCCAAAGTTTAAGAACTCTTGTAAATAAATCAATATAATAAGTAAACTCATTTTTGTAAGTTGTCAAACAAACAACACTGCCTCTGATTTTAAAATTTCAGAAAATTGTTGCAAAATACATCTAAATTACTTAAATGAAATATTTGCTTATTCATTTTGTAACATTTATAGACTGAAATATTCAATAGGGTCATTGAAGTCATTTATTTGTAACAAAACAAATTATTTATTGTATATTGTATTGTAAAAAATTTTATGATAAAGCCTATATGCATTTAAGAGTAAATTCACAGTGAATGCTATATTAAAAATAGAATTAACTAATTCTAGAGAAACTGAGTCTTTCAGAGAGCATAGGTCAGCATAACATTCGACACCTCGTTTGAAAAGAATGTCAGCTGAATTTCTTGATGGATTAATTGGCCGTTAAAGAAGTGGACGTGGAAAATGGCGGTCACAGTTTCGCTAGAAAAATAATTAAAAAGAGCCCAGTGCCGATCGAAGCGCGAGGCATGGATAAATTGAAACTGGTTTCAACTGGCCACTGGTAGTTTGATCTGGGACTTGCTTCTCCCAAGAAGCACCTTAGACCATCATCTTTCTTTCTACAGAAGCTTCCTTTCAAGTACATGTTGCCTACTTTTATCTCCCTTCCAAAATTTCACAGCATTAATTTTGTCAAATAATTAAACTTCTACTTAATTCCAGAAAAATTCTTCCATTGAAGAGTTTGGCAAACTTTAATATGCAATTTCAAATTAGTAGCCAAGTAAATAGTCGGTGAAAAGGAAATGGAAGAAAAGATCTTCTTTAGATTGTTTTACTCAAAGAAATAAAACAGTTAAAAATTATGTGTTGAGGAAGAAATAAAAAGCCACAAATGTCAGTTGTCCTAAGTCAGTTCATCACGTCAAACAATAAATTCCCATTCCTGCTGCACCATTGCCTTACTGTTAATTGTAATTACTTGATTCTTCATTGGATAAACAAGAGGAGAGGCTGAAAACAATTGTTGCTAGTCTTAGCATCGTTTTCATTCACACATTTTATTAACTCCTGTTACACAGTACAGTAAGGCTTGAATAAATATATTATTACATTTTACTGACCGACAGACTAGCCGAAAAAAATGGCGAAGTAAATGTTTTATCATCACACTAGCGAACTTATTATTATAAATTTAAAATTCTATACATTTCGCAAAGTGAGTTTTTCATAAGACTGTATATTGAATTACTGCATATAAAAATATCTTTTGGTATTCAGAGGTAACTAAAATATAGTCTCTTTTGATAGCAAAGTATCATTATTTAAGTACATCATTATTTATGTGCAATGACAATTTGTAATACAAATTATGTGCAATTTGTAGTGTAACACAATAGTGTAATAATTTTTAAGTGAAAAGAATTATTCTTGTTCAATCAAAATACAAAAAATTAAACCTGCTCTTTCTTACATTTTCAAAAAGTACAATTCTGTAAAGTATTTTGTACAATATTTTTAAGAGTGAATGTGTTAAGTATCTATATTGAACAGATTGAATAGATCTGTGCAAATTCTTTAAAATAAAAAAAATTTCACTTGATACCATAAAAATTCACATTTCACGTGATATGTGAAGCAAACTAATTTGCTCATATATCCTCGTGAAATCTTTTCACTTAATTGTAGAAAAATTACAAAATGGCAGTTTAGGAACAAGATGGAAGACATTCGCATGACAGCGTAATATTATCTATATAACAAACAAATATGATTTAATCAAAAATACCGTCAAATATCTTGATACATTTTTATAATACAATATTGGCATTTTGAACTAATATGTCCAAATGATTAATTTTCCAGCTCAACTGGTTCAACGTTAAAATTACTTCCAATGTTTTAATAATAAACAGTGCTCTTTTTATTTCTCTCAAAGTCAAACAACAATAAAGTTAAATTTTATAGTACAAATTTGAAAAGTATTTTACAATATAAATAAATATTCTTTGGACATATATTTGTTCTCTGAAGGAACCAATTTAATTAGTTCTTTCAAGTTCCATCCAATACTTAAACTTACGAAATACGGAATGTTTAGAATTTAAAATGCTACTTGACTGATTAACCAAGTATGCATTAAAGTTTAGTAGTATTGATATAGTCCGATGTTTCCGCATCGTTGGCCGAATTTATGTTGAAGATGTACTTTTTAGGCGTGCTTTCATTCTTTGATATGGCGATCTCATCACTATCAAAAATGCCTTCATTTCTACGACGTATACGTTCTCCTATTATAGGAAAGAAGAGGTTGTGATCTAACTTGAGTCTTTGTTGTTTAAATATTCGGTTCAAGCAGTAGCTAAGACCCAGTCCAATAACGAATGACATCAAAAATCCAAGCGGAGCATACCACATGTAAGAGATTCGATAAAGATAGAAGTAATCATGTGATTTCCTTAAAAAAGAAATGCATTATTCCATTATAAATTCGTTCCTTCGAACTACATATTCCAAGGTTAGAAATTTATTGCTTACGATGGCACTTGTGAGATAGAAGTGGTTACATTTGGACAACCAACATCAGTAACTGGCAGCGTTGGTGGAATAGGCCTGGGTTGTCCAAAAGCAGTCCAAAATAGAAATGCTAGGGATACAATAGCACCTATTACAGAGCCTGTTTCTGAGGCTGTTTCTGTGAGCATTCCAAGAGTGAAAAGGCCTAATAATGGGCCACCAACTACTCCAAATATTGTTAGGCCAGCCTGTAATATCAAAAACAATTTTCCTTTGAATGAAATCTTGAAAATATTTCATAATACTCCTATAATAAAGTAAATTAAAAAAAAAAAAAAAAAGAATACCTGTAAGACACCGCCTAATAATTGTGCCAAAAACGCCAAAGCAATAGAAATAATTCCATAAAGAAAAGCAAGTAATTTGGCCACAGTTGTCGACATGGTTAGAGAAAATTCTTTGCCGCAACATTTTTTATATGCTGGTTTTAAATAATCTTCTAACGTTACTGCTGCCAATGAGTTTAACGCTGCTGAAATAGTGCTGAGACCAGCACTAAAAATACCTAAGCAAAAAATATGAGAA